TTTTCTGCGCATGTCACCGGCTAACAAATATACCTAGGCTAGAGCTCGCAATGCAACTCGCCCATACATTGTAGAAAAATCGAATAAAATATTAAAAAGGGGGACAAAACTGGATACTATATAGTTATATTCATGACATAACTGAAATGGATAATCTTGACTTAAAAGCTTCATATTGTAATGGATAAGACAAGGGAGTAACAGTGGGGCGATGTGTAGGGTGGGGCTCGATTGGTTTCAAAATTCAGGGGGGGTGCAGGTATATGAGGGCATGCACCCGGGGCAGTTAGCCAGGGGTGGATTCAGCCGGCGGCAGGGGAGGGGGCCAAAGAGGGAGCCCAATTCTGGAGAAAATATTTAGCGATGAAACAGCCATCCGGTGCATAAGCGCGGGGGGGGGGGGGGGGGGGGGGGGGGGGGGGGGGGGGGGGGGGGGGGGGGGTAAGAAGCACTAATATTTCTTTTTTTTAATCAGCCCCCGTTTGACCCCGCAAATTTGAAAATCGCGCCAGCCGATATTTCGCTTAATGGGGGGGGGGGGGGAGGTGGGGTTGTGAACACTAATTTTGTTTCCCCCCCCCCCCCCCCAAAAAAAAAAAAAATGAAAATGAAAATCGCACCCCCTTCCCCCTTGAGCACAAAAAGTGAGGGGCCCGTCTTCCACTAAAGGTAAAATTAACGTGTTTATACCACCGGGCCCTCCCCCTAGATCCGCCACTGCAATTAGCCTTCTAAGTATGGGCTTCCTTTATATCTCTCACTATGATTTTCAAGTGTATTTCATTTTTTATAGTTAAATTTCGCAAGAACGTAAGCACTTACAGTCGTGATTTTCCATGTGCGGCTGACTAAAAAAAAAATTAAAATGATAAAGTGCTGACAATCGAACGATTCAGATCGTGCTCTGAAAAATTGGTCGGCAAAGAGGGCGAGTATCTATGACAATCAAATGGGCTGATAGTCAATCAACATCATCAGTTCATTTTATCTATAGCACCCGCGGAAGCATAACCGGTGTTGTCTCTTTTTATTTTTTATTTTTTATTTATAATAAAAAGGTTACATGCAATATCATTATTACTCTCCAATATTTTGGCCTGCTCACCAGTTGCAAAATTTAATTTAAATTGCCAATTCATATTTGAACAAAAGACATCAGCCCCCCCCCCCCCCCCCCCCGGTACAAAATATTGCCTAAATGCTTATGCATATTTTACCCATGCATGATTTTATAGCTTTGGGAAATTCCTCTGGCATGGTTATTTTCATTGTAATTAGAAAATGAAAAGTGGTACGCAACGAACTTGTTCATTAAATTATGGGTATACCGCGGGGGGGGGGGGTATACTTGTCTTTTACTAGGTTTACGTAATGCGAGGAAGCGGATTGACTTAATCAGGAGACGAGGAAGAGGAAACTATTTTTTCACCGTTTCCCACATTTTCCCCTATTCCACCCCTTGGTTTCCTTGGGCTCTGTGTGTCTTTCTTCCTCTCACACACCTCCTTATGTAATTGATTCGACTGGAGAGGGGTGAGTGCCGAGGGGTGCATCGGGGGCGGCGATTTCTTTTCATGTTTTCACCAGGGATGACGAAATGCGGGATTTTCTACAATATCATTTACTAGTACATTTTGAAAGAGATTGTGCGAGGGAGCGTATAGCGACCGAGAGAGAAGATTTTTATTAGTCTAAACGTGGGCCCTCCAGAGCTTAAAAGTGGGCTGCGGTCTTTAGTCAGTATTTGCTATACATTTTTTTTTTTTTTTTTGGGGGGGGGGGGGGGGGGGGGGGGGGGGGGGGGTGGGGACACTTTTACAAATTTTAGGGATGATCCCCCTTAAAAAAATTGAGCGAGGGACGTGTCCCCCCCCCCCCCCCCGCCCCCGTCCCCTCGGGATCGCTGACCCTGGGTGCACGAGGGGGAGGGGACCGGGGGAGGGGAGGGGGAGGGCTTTCGGTAAATATCACTCTCAAATCTCCGTGCAAATTATAATTTGATTGCCATTTTTTTGTTTTATTGTGATGGTCTTATATTTTTAGAGCAAGTGCTGCTAAATTATGTATTTCAAACCCCATCCTATTCTAATAAACTGTATTAATTTCGTAAAGTGCTTTCTTCGACGTGGAACTCGGGGCGTCACTAAACAAAAATTAGGGGTGGGAGGTTCTGACCAATATTGCCGTCAAATTTGACAAAATGACCTAGGCTATGATGTTGGTAAAGATTTTAACAATTCTGATTTTCCTACAAAAAATATTAAAGGGGGTATCACGCTCCATCCTCTTATATCACACCCTTAATATCCATAGGTGAGTTTATTCTCAGTTATCACACATAATATATCTCTTTAAAAAGTCAATGACATTGTTATTTTTTGTTTATGTATACTGCACAGGGCTCACGGAAGGGGTATGTGGACATGTAGGAAGAGGATGCGACTAAAGGAAACCAAAAGTGGCAGAAATTCTTAAAAAGTGGGATGTGTTTGATGAGGTTGAGGGTGTAGATTACGGATTTGGTAGAAAGGAGGAAGATGAGGCGTCGAAACCTCAATATTCTACTTTCAGTCAAGGAGATCACGAAATGTTTATGTTATACGTCTAGACCTACCAACAAAACTTGAGTGGGCCTATTATCTGTGGAATTATGTGTAGGCGAACCAAAATGGCTAATGACGCATGACAGCACTATAGAGAAGGGATGAAGAACAGAGTTAGCAGAATATGCGAGAACTAAGAAAAAATAAAGGGACAGAGAAAAAAGGTGAAAGAACAGCCGCGCCTTTTTTTTGCTTGTTATTCAAATACGTCAAGGGGCACGATTTTGTATTTTGTTTTATTTTTGTAACGACAGAATGTCTTATTTTGAGCCATGTTCTATCTGACCGATATAATTATCATTTATGTTATCTTAGGGACTGTGTATAATATCTCGATGTATCCCACTGAATGTTATTATCTGTAAACAATTATTTTACATGGTGAATAGATAAAACAAACAAACACAAAATATAGGGGCGTATCCAGGATTGTCCGCGCTGGGAGACTGGGACAGGTGCTTGTGAACTCCACACAACATGCAGGGAGTGGGAATTTCATCAGCCTTTCCACATTTGCCATGTGTCAAAGACAGAGAGTGGGCGTCGGGACTCTCACAAGTTTTCCCCATTTCATGAAACTTATCATTGGGAAATCCCGCCAGTAATCCAAATTCGCTAAATAATATAACGTAACATGCATTGAAATTTGAAAGAGAGATGAAAGGGGGTAGGGAGAGAAAGAGAGAGAGAGAGAGAGAGAGAGAGAGAGAGAGAGAGAGAGAGAGAGAGAGAGAGAGAGAGAGAGAGAGAGAGAGAGAGAGAGAGAGAGAGAGAGAGAGAGAGAGAGAGAGAGAGAGAGAGAGAGAGAGAGAGGAATTGGGAGAGCCTTTTTTATTTCTGTCAAATGGAGCACCCTACTGCGACCCCATTAATCTTTGCGGCTCACTGTCCCAAATTGTGCTTCTTTCTCTATCGAGAGATGGCGCTGTTGAAATTTACTATTATACCTGTCAGTTATGAATAAGAGATATTGTGTGTGAGCGAGAAAGAAGTGTGTGAGCGATATATAATTAATTTACCCCTCTTTTCATATATCAGAATCCAGTTGGAATACATGTATAACATGATGGAGACAACCTTTTGAGGCCATGGCTCATATTCATGGTAAAACTATATGAACTTTCCCTTTTTTCAATAAAATCAGTTTCCACCTTGTTGGTCTTGATTGGATAATGCTTGCTGAAACTTTGAGGTGGGATGGGGGGTCATGCCACCTTTGTCATATACAGTCAAACCCTTCTATAGCGACCGCCCAAAGTAAACACCAAAAGTGTTCTTTGTAGACAGGTTCCCTCAGTACATGTTTCAATGAGAAACCATTTTCAAGGGAAACCAAAAATGTGGTCTTTGTAGACAGGTGGTCACTAAAGCAGGTTTTACTGTGTCTTCAGTGGATAATAAGTGCCTTAGTATTTGTGAAAATGACAATCCTTTTTTTTTTTTTATTGGTCAGATACTTTACAGTGACCCCTCACCCTACTTGTCACCTCTTTGTTCCTACCTGTTTTTGCCAGCAACAATTGCTCTGGATTTTATTGGGCTAGGGTTGCATTTGGTTATTTAGGTTAGTTTTTCTGGGTTGGGATTAGGCTTGGTTACAAGTATGCATTTGGGCCAGGGTTGAAATTAGGGGATTAACCAAAAAGGTATTTGTGGCAAGAGCAAGCGTCATAGAACTGATGTTCATAGCATCCAAACTACCATAGTCTTTGGTTTAGTTATTCAACTGCCATCTTCTTTCCATTGGTCTACAGATATATACATGCACAATTCCAATTCCTCTTTGACTTTCACAAGCTCACTTTCATTCTACAACCCAACTCCTCTATACGTACATGTACTTCACAAGCTACTTCCACTCTTTCAATATCACAAGCTAAATCAGTCTCTCACTTTAATTCTCTTCATACCGTCACAACACAACTTCTCTAGATGTACTTCAGAAGCTACTTCCACTCTCTCAATCGCAGTCCTTAACTTTCATTTCCGTCTGTACATGTTACCAAACATTCATCTCCTCAAAATACACTTAAGAGACTACTTCTTCTCTCCCAATTTCACAAGCTCAATTGCAGTCTCTGACTTTTATTCTTTTCTCTTTTCTCTGATCAGACGTCACGATGCATTGATTTGATTAGCCACTTGACACCACCAGGGAATAATTTTCCTGGTATCGCATCGCAATTTGCTATGCATTTTTGCATGACTGCTATACAAAATATCTTTTGTGTAGCAGTTTTCTTCCATAGAAATGTACAGAATTTCATTTGAAATATTTATCCATCGCCTGAAATTGCTAATCAAAAAATTTGAGGAAAATTATTCCCTGACCACAATGAGACAATCACAGAAACTACTTGAATGACACAGAATATAACGACACAGTGACAGGATTTATGCGGTCACATTAATTTACACATCGCTTTATTGATCATTGTCTATCCCCCTGCAGCTTCCTTACTGTGGCGGCTGTGACCTGCCTCGTCCAAAGCCTCCTTTCTGCGAGATGGAAGCAAAGTGACAGAGGGAGAGAGGGAGAGAGAGAGAGAGAGAGAGAGAGAAGGGGAGAGGAAGGGAGGGAGGGAGATAGAGAGAGGGTTGGGTTGGAGGGAGAGCCACAGAGTTGATAGAAAGAGAAGAAGAGACAGAGAGAGAAGGGAGAGGTGGAGACAGAATAAGAGAGAGAAGTGAGAGGAGGGGACAAAATAAGAAAGAGAAGGGAAAAAAAAAAAAGTTGTATTACTTACATTGCAGTCATATAGCAACAACGTTGGAGATTGATACAAAGGGACCACACAAAATTGCAATATTACTGGATACATAACTTTTTGTGTGAATTCTTGAGGGCAATAATTTGTTCTCATGACAAGTCACGAGTTGTATTTACTAAAACATGTCTAGCTAAATTGACATTTGTACAAATATAACATTACATCTAAGGCAGTGGTTCAGACATACAGGCCTTAAATTTCACCATTTTTAGGGCAAGGCCACTTTTCTGTAGGGCACATTCCTACATTACAGCACTTATGGGAAGAATTGGAAAGGGCACAAAAAATCTCCAAGGCCAATGAGAGGGGCATTGAGGCCAATCAAAGGGGCATCCAAGGCCATGGCCTTGGTGGCCTTGGATTAATTTAAGGCCTGGACATACAATTGGTGAGGAATTAATTTCAATCCCTCTTTTCTATGCTAGACCAGCAAATGCATATTGAACAGAATTCCGGAATACAAGTTGACCGACAACCAGGTGCAATCTAATTTGCCATAGGCCAGCGAGGCAAGCTAAACAATACTTGAAGAAAAGAAAGATTTAATCTTGAGAAAATGAGAGGGGTTGTAGTTTTTTCTGCACAGATAATAATAAGAGGGCAGATCAGGGCCCTGTTTCATAAAACTTGATATCAATAACAAGTTACAAGCTACTGTTATAATCTACTGAAATCATGGCATTTGATTGGCCGAGAGCAAATTTGTCATAGAAATTTAGCAGTTGTTATAGATAACAAGTTTTATGAAACCGGCTCCAGAGGGGAAGAATGATAACTTACGAATTGGAAGTCTTGGGTAGCTCCGGCTCCAGCATCACCCTTCTTGTCTGGTCCTCCTAAAAACAAGACAAACAATTAAGAAATCAGAAAGGAATTAGCAAGGATTTCAGTTTTTTTTACATACAATTTGGATTGATGTATTCTCTGGAAATCTATAATCCATGCAGGGAAAATAGTGCTGCTTCTTATATAGATGTTGCTTATGACATGGTCACAAAGGTTCGTACAAACGATAATTTTGTAAGAATCTTCCTGTTTTTACGGCGTTCGTAGCACTTCGTAATGGCATTTGTGACCGAGGCTTTAGTCGCGGGTGCAAAATACCACATCTCCAAAATAACAGGAGTCCAAGATTGTAACTCTTAACCCCAAACCTGGGTATCCAGTCTGGGCTTCTCATCCTGCTTCAAGTGAGTGTAAAGCAGTTTGAAGTAGAAATGGATTTTCTCATGGATGAAGGTTTGAAGTTTATTTATTCCACATTTTTACATCAAAGAACAATTTAAATTCTTTTTAAATTTTTGTTTATACAAGTGTATTTGAGTAGATTTCACACACACATACACACACAAAATTAACGATTTCAAATCAAGTAAAATGTACGGAAAAAAAAAAGTATGTTTCGAAATATATACAATGACAGTGCAGGTTTTCAAAAAGATGACAGTAAAAAACCCTGGAATAAGGCATGACCTCCTGCATGAATCATATTAACTCAACTTATGGGTCAGACGGAAGGTTAATCCCAATGGATACCTTTTGCATTTGGTAAACATGCATTTTATCCCTGGACTATATTAGACTTCAAGTTATCTTAGGCCAAGTATTTTACAGATTTAATAAGAAAAGAGAATAAGTGTATTGAGTACTCAATGCGTACTTGCTCAGAAGCCAATTGTGAACTTTCAGGGATAAATTGAATTTACTGAATTAGCCTGAAAAGGGTTTGTGATATTTTGGTGTTTTTGAGGTAAAGTATTAAAACAAGCCGAAGTTCCCTACCTGGTCCACGTCGGTACTCCTGCCTCTGCCCATCGGATGGGGGTCCTCCCCTCTCGGTCCACCACGGCCCTCGATGACTCGAGGCTTGGGCCTGGCGGTCTCGGTACGGGGCTGGCGCTTGAGGGTGGCAGGAACGATTTCTGGTGGGAGATGAAGGTAGTCCCTGAGGTACTGGATGCCCTCGTTGGTGAGGTACCAGTAGTAGTGACGCCAGGCGAACTGCTCCTTGACGTAGCCACGCGACTTCAGAGACTGTAATGAGGTGCAGGAGAGAGAAAGTGGATATTTACCAAGTACCATAAAAAAGCACTCAAACATTTCTTAAAGCCCCACTGCACTACAGTCTACTTATAACTACTCTATATAGCAAACAATGCCTAATCGGTGCCTGTTGATCCCCATGATGCCCTTTTTCTTGTGTTAATTGAGAGCTGATTTGATGAGATAACTACCTGTCATTGACATTGCAAGGAGGTCTAATCCCTCCATGCCAAACTAGTGCAGACGGACTTTAAAATATGTTTGAATCTAAGAGAAATCAGAAGTCTTCATGCAATTTTAGAAAGCATAACATTTTGATAAATACATTTCATTAATGTAGAAGGGACCCCAATAATGCTGGACCTGTCAATATTTATAAAAAAACAATGCATCCCAGCTGAGAAGGCATAATAAATGATTGCAATTACTAATTATGCATAGAAACCAGTACACATGACTTTCATTGAACATCACCCCAATAAAAAAGATTACCTTACATGGAGTCCTTATTCACAAATATCTTCCTATGTAAAATACAATTTTGTTAAAGGGAGCTCATTTAGGATTAGCTATCCCTAAATGCAAGAGTTCCTCATGCCAATATGTGAGCATAAAATGTTTAATTTGTGACTGGTTCAGATTCACGAAAGTTTCATGTCATGAAATCACTGAATCACTACTGACACAACAGAAACTTTATACACTACAGTTTTGGAACAGTTTGCAATAATTTCACATTGTAAAGTTTATAATGGTTAAATAATTCCCCCCCCCCCAGCTGTTCCTTGTCCTAGAATGTATATTTACCTGACAAGCCTTGATGACATGAAGGTTTGGTACAGACTCCAGCTCGGGATGCTTGGGGCTGTAGAAATCTTTCTTAGCCACAATCACGCCCTCCTTGAAGAGGTTCTCGTAGATGGCAACACGGTTCACCTTTGGCATCAACATCCTGGAATAAGAGGAAAAAAAAGAAGATAGGATATGAGTAGAGTATTTATGACACAAATCACTAAGACTTAGAGGCTTAAACATATGAGGGGCTGTGTTCAACACTTAATGGTGCTTGTATGGAACATGAAAATCAATTAAAGCAGGTTTTAGCTCACTTTTATTTGCTAGGTTGAATAGCGTTTCAAAATTCAATTATGCAGACATGTCATGTTTTAAGCCTTTTGGAGTATACATTGTCATTGTCAATGTTCACTTGTCTATAAATATTGTAAGTTATTCTCAACCAGAACTACAGAAGGGGCACTGGTCAGAGAATAAGGATCGTCTGCATAAACGAGGATATTTTCGTAAACGCAAACAAATTGCGTCCTAAAATATAGGAATCGTCCCCAAGGTTTACCGATCTGCGCCTTGGATTTTTCAATGATGCCAGACGATGCATGTTAGAGATGCCAAGTTCAAAGATCAGCTATGCGTGACATTTTCATGACTCGGCTCAGCGCGAGGGTAAAGCGTACATTTCAAAATCGCGCGTGCGCATGAGGCAACGGGATAGCCAGTCTGCATGCATGCTATGTCACGTACATGAACCCTGCGAGGAGCAAGCGGAGGGCTCGAGGCGGTCGGCCAGTACGTAGTCTAGCAATTACTACCCCTTTTTCCCCCCAGTCTGGCCTTGATGCGTGACAACAATCCAGTTTGGCCCCGATGTGTGACACATGGTAGCTCTGGCATGTATCAGTTTGCAGCACACAGACTTTCATATTAGGTCTAGATCTATGACCGGTAAATCCTTGGGAAGATCGACAACTCGTATTCGTAAAACTCGTCGGAGAACTGGGGGTATTTTAATTTTCAGACGAGGAATCAATTTTCGCATAGCATTGCCAGGTCGCAAATGGGTAATCGTACACCCACAGAGCGCTAAAGCAAAAGGAGGTCCGTGACGACCCTTATTTTTCAGGACAAAATTTGTCCACATTAACAAAGATATCCTTGTTTCTGCCAACGATCATAATTCTCAGACCACTGTCAACAGGCCAAAGAATTCTGGTAAAATTAGCCCCTTTTCATTCTCTTCACACGGCAGTGATTCACTACAGATTGCATGCAAAGTGCAATGCCATTCTCAAACTCTGACACGACTCTTCAGCAACACGGTCAACGGACGAGTGCTTCCCAATTCTGTACACACACACACGCACAGACATTCACATTGCATTCGTAAAAAAGTTGTTAATGAACATTGCAGTGACTTCATCAACAAAAATGCCTTTAATTAAAATATGGTGAATGAACGTCGACTGATTTGACGTTCAAAAAAGAGGCATTGAGAAACCGAAGATCTATCTAATTGACCCCAATGATGACGATTTACGAATGCAATTTTTTGTCAAATTATCAACATGATCAAGTACGTATTCCAACACGCACAGATGTGTAGCTTACGGACATGGAAACCCCCATATAAATCCGCAATTTTTATCCACTTATGATTTAACTTTGAAATTGAAATGCTAATAAATGAGCATCATTGATATATAAATACATATAAAATGTGGAGTTTTATTCAGAATTCACATGGATTACAGAGATTGAAAAGGATTTCATATAACTGACGATCACATACTTTGCTGCTTTGGCAGAGCTCTACGGAAAAGGACCATCGATAGGTCATAATTAGCATACCAAATTTTATCTAAACTACGGTATCTTTCAATAGTACAAATAGCAATAGAAAAACATAGAAAATTAAAAAATAAAGACAGGACGTAAACTCATAGTTCTCACACATATTTACTTTTCTTAATGAACAGAAGAAGAGAAGGGGATCGGGTGGGGTGGGGGTTTGGTGTTCAAATACCCCCTTTCCTTGGAAAAAAGGGGGTGTTTTAGAATTTTAAAGACACCCTGGCAAAAAAAAAAAAAAAAAAAAAAAACGTTAATTGTTGTTGTTGTTGTTGCTCAATCTCTGTAATCCATGTGAAGTAGAAAAACAATAAAATAGAATAGAATGGAAATAGAAATAGAAATAGAAATAGAAATATAAATATAAATAGAAATAGAATAGAAATAGAAATAGAAATAGAAATAGAAATAGAAATAGAAATAGAAATAGAAATAGAAATAGAAATAGAAATAGAAATATAGAAATAGTGAAGGTGAATAAATGTACAATACAGCCAGGGGGCCCGGGGACTAACAATACCTTTACTGAATATAAATAAATATTAGATCTATCACTGATTTATAGAATATGGTAGATTAAAAAAGAAGCAGAACAATGGTTGGTCGGTTGGTTTTTTTTCCGTATACATATTTAAATACATACAAGAATTGAAGAATACAATTTACAAATATAATACAAATCAAGAATTAAAAACGGCTGGAATGCTCTATTCAGAGCCATTATTAAAATTGCTTTGTTCTTCCTAGAGGTCCAGAAATAGATAATTAAGCATAGAAATAAAACACAAAATATTGACATTACATACGCACTATCCAAACCCCCACCCAAACCCTCTATATCACATTATGAATACAACTGCTACCATATCCCCTCCCCCTCCCCGTTCACACCCGGAAAGATATACATCAACATCTAGTATCCAGTCGTTTAGGCCATGCCAAAATAAATTTAGTGTGCACGGTCTACGAAAGTTAATCAGTAATTCATTATACAATTTAGATCCGCGATAAAAGAATATTTGTTTACATGTAATAATTAGTTTTAGGTTTGGGCAAGACTAAGTTATCAACATTTCTTAGGGCATAATTGGTTTCTTTATAAAAGAGATTATTCTGCATATAATCTGGAGTTAAATTGTGGAAAATCTTATACAGCATTATGTACATGTGCTTTTTAATAATGATAATAGATTAGTAAAGATATATAGGGGAAGGTGGATAAATGTACAATGAAGGAGAAAAAAACAACTTGTAGAAACACGTTAATTTTACCTTTTTTGGCGCCCAAGGGGGGGGGGGGGGGGGGGGGGGGGGCGAGTGGTGCAAGTTTAAAAACTTCGAGGGCCCCCCTCCCCCCCCCCCCCCAAAAAAAAAAAAAATCGGGAGCAAAAAAAAAAAAAATCCCCCCCCCCCCCCCCTCTAAGAAATCCTGGACCCGCGCCTGAATCCAGCTACCTATACGGTACTGAACTAATATTAGATCTATCACTATTAAAAGGTTGCTATTATTTAGGCGATCATCGTCTCATTCCTTTCTAAATTATAAAAGGGAGAAAACTTTCATGTTGGCCTAGTTCGGTGATGACTTTCTTTTAGGTCGCTAGAGATAACTTGAAGCTACTTAATTCTTGTCGGCGAATCTAAAATCTGAGGTGGTTTATTCATTTATTTATTTAATTTACCTTTTGACATCCTTCTTCCTGCTCTTCGTTGAGTGTTTGTCTTTTCGAGGATACCGCCTCTTCATCCAATTTTTGAGTTAAACTACACTACTAGCTTTAGATGTCGCGTTCCAGAAAAATTGTTACAACGGCAAATTGTTTACATTGGAAACGGGCATAATTTTCGGGTTTTCATCAATATGTTGGACATTTAGGTGATGAATATCTGGTCGTAAGTAATAATCATTTATTTCCCAGTGTGATCTTCAATTGTTCTCATACCTGTTTGCTTAAAATTTCAAATGTATGCAGATTCTCGCCTGTCACCGAATTTGTGTCGCATTCACTTGTGTAATTTTCAGTTTACTGTAGTCCCATATGTTAATATTTAGGTTGGAATAATAGTCGGAATTGTAGTGAAATATTTTTAGTTGCTATGAATGGAGAATGGCATAGAAATTACCTTGATCTAACTCGGATACATCGCGAGAAGATTTGAATAAATGAACAGGCAAGTGAACTTTCTTCAGGGCCTGCTGCCAGGGGCGTATTTTTTTCCTGTACCGCTAATGCGTCGCAGAGGTTAGACTATTTCGACGACTTGAATAGAGGCAACATCCGACATAGACCGAAAGCTTCAGTCTCTATAATCGTCGGTTGTTCCACTGAGACTACGTCTGGCTCCACTAGACCTCCGGTTATAGAGACTGAACGACTGCCTATGCCAGCCTGTGTTGAACTTATTCCGCTAGATTTTAGCCGCTAGGCCCCTCCCACAAACTTGCCACGGCCGTATTGTTATGCCCCCAAAATCCCCCAAAATGTCATTTTACCTCGTTCATTTCCAATTTTAAATTAGGCCTAGGCTATAATACATCGGTTCCACTTACTAACTTGATTGATATAATCCGTTTAATGGTCCCTTTTAAGGAAATTATCGTCAAATCGACATCCATGTTGAAAATCTTGCAAGCCGTGTTAAACTCTCGCTGCCGTCAATCTCATCCCTTCTAGTCTACGCCGAAGGCAAAATGATTATGAAGGAAAAACTGTGATAACGCCATTACGAACGTGTAGATGGCGCACAGTTTTTCCTTCATAATCATTTTGCCTTCGGCGTAGACTAGAAGGGATGAGATTGACGGCAGCGAGAGTTTAACACGGCTTGCAAGATTTTCAACATGGATGTCGATTTTGACCGATAATTTCCTTAAAAGGGACCATTAAACGGATTATATCAATCAAGTTAGTAAGTGGAACCGATGTATTATAGCCTAGGCCTAATTTAAAATTGGAAATGAACGAGGTAAAATGACATTTTGGGGGATTTTGGGGGCATAACAATACGGCCGTGGCAAGTTTGTGGAGGGGCCTAGCGGCTAAAATCTAGCGGAATAAGTTCAACACAGGCTGGCATAGGCAGTCGTTCAGTCTCTATAACCGGAGGTCTAGTGGAGCCAGACGTAGTCTCAGTGGAACAACCGACGATTATAGAGACTGAAGCTTTCGGTCTACATCCGACATAGAGTCTACGTACACACACCAAATCGCGCCGCACTGAACGGGTGAAGCTTTTCTTCACACACCTAATCGGAGATGAAGGTAGCCCATCCAATGTGTAAAAATTGCCAATTTGATAAGTGTAAGGATCGCATTGTACACGTACAACCGCTATACTACACACCCGCAATATATTCTTTGTGTATTGTATCCGTCAGGCATGATCAGTGCAACGATGGCTGGCTACCAATTAAAATAGGCATGGTGGTCGGATATAATGAGAGTAGATGATGGAGGGGGGGGGGGGGCGGTAAAGCGCAGTACTTAGGGGCAATCAAAGAATTATACTAAGACCTCACCTCATGTATGTATGTTAGAAATTAAAACGTTATTATCTTCTTTTGAATTGCAATATATCCCCGCACCATTATTATAAGTCATGCATGAATGTTATTTGTCATATGTTATATATTTGAAAGGTGGTACACGATTCAAGCTCTATTTGCTTATGTTTCATCACCTTTGTGTGTTCTTTCTTCAAACTGTATATTAGTTGCAACGTGTCTATGATAAATCATTGTTATATTCTTTTTCATGTGAAGTCTATTCAAATGGATTGTAAATTGAAATGATTTGTTATATTATTTTATATTCATTTTTCATGTGATGTTAACTTCAATGGATTGTGAAATTGTGAACATGCATGCATGCATGCATGCATAATAAATAAATAAATAAATATGCTTTCTCTGGGAAAAGGGGCATTGACTCAATAAATACCAAATCACAGAAACTATTCACCATTATGTCACCGTCATGTACATATTTTCTATGGATATATTTTTTAAAATCTCAACTCTTTACCACATCAGCGTCATGTACATTGTCGATGGATAAAGTGGAATATTTATTCTTCACCACCCTACGCTAACTTTTCACCACCCTACCGTCATGTGCATTATCTATGGATAAGCTGGAACATTAACTCTTCACCACCCTACGCTAACTTTTCACCACCCTAGCGCCATGTACATTGTCTATGGATAAATGGTAATATTATCTCTTCACCACCCTACGCTATCTTTTCACCACCCTAGCGTCATGTACATTGTCTATGGATAAACTGGAATATTAATTTTTCACCACCCTACGCTAACTTTTCACCACCCTAGCGTCATGTACATTGTCTATAGATAAACTGGAATATTAATTTTTCACCACCCTACGCTAACTTTTCACCACCCTAGCGTCATGTACATCGTCTATGGATAAGCTGGAATATTAATTTTTCACCACCCTACGCTAACTTTTCACCACCCTACCGTCATGTGCATTATCTATGGATAAGCTGGAATATTAACTTTTCACCACCCTACGCTAACTTTTAACCACCCCAGCGTCATGTACATTGTCTATGGATAAAGTGGAATATTAACTCTTCACCACCCTACGCTAACTTTTCACCACCCTATAGCGTCATGTACATTGTCTATGGATAAACTGGAATAATTATTAACTCTTCACCACCCTACGCTAACTTTTCACTACCCTACAGCGCAATGTACATTGTCTTTGGATAAACTGCACTCTTAATTTTTCACCATCCTACGCTAACTTTTCACCACCCTATATAGCGCCATGTACAGTGTACATAGTCTATAAACTGGAATATTAACTCTTTACCGTGTTAGTTTGTTTTAGTTATGCCTATGCCTTCACGGTGACCATAATGGTAGGAATACTCCCCAGCAGAGGCCGCCCTCCTGGGGGAGTAGGGGCACAGTGCCCCCCACTTTTTCAAGCACCCGAAAAGTGCCCCTTTTTACATAGGAATAGTGCTCCTTTTACTCTGATAAGTGCCCCTTTTATTTTGACAGTTTGACACGTGCCCCTTTTCCTTCGACAAGTTCCCATTTTCCATTGCAATAAGTGTCCATTTTCCATTCTCGTAAGTGCCCTCTTTAATCTCTAGTACTAGGGTAGGTGAGGGAATTGGAGACCCTTAAGCACATTTCCATAATTTACATAAACATGAAAAATGTTACACATACAGAAAGTTTTGTTTTCTCTTTAGTAACTTCTTCTCTTTATTGGGAAACAAAATTGTGGTCATGATGTAACTGATTAATAAGATAAAAATAATTTATGACGTCATCACCAAAGGTCTCTCATTACCAACATGCGTACAGTTACAAATCAAGACATTTCAAATCAAGACATCAAGACAAAAATGGGATTGTTATAGTTAGTTCAAACACTTTTTGAAAGAGATACATGCAGCCAATGAACTTACTGTAATTTTGAAACGATTTTGAAAGAAGAAATTAATCCCATGTTATCCGCTTGTTATGCTTTATAATTCATTGATATTACAGTATATAACATATTGCAATTTAGTATGGGCCACCAGCGCCAAAATCAAAATCAAATCTATTTATTTATTGCAAAAGAAAGCCCTTCGTATTATGTACATGTTCACCATTATTTATCTCACACAAGTCCAATATTTTACAAACTGAAAACCCTTACAGTATTCGACATAAATTCGCTACAATGTTTACTGATCATGTTTAAGTATTTAAAAAATATACTCCCTCTTTCATTTCAAAACTTTTACACTATGAATAAAGCTATTCATTCTTACCCTACTCGTAATTCCTCAAATTTTCATCTAGTATACCCGAAATAAATCCATAAGACACCATGGTCCTGACCCATGGAACTTTCTCCCAGAATCTATTAAATCATGTTGCTCCCTCTCAGGGCCGTAGCCAGAGTTTGATGTTTAGGGGGGGGGGGACACATACATGTAATTGATCGACGTTCTGGAGAGGGGTCTAAACAATTTCAATTTTTTTTGGGGGGGGCACGTGCCCCCCCCCCCCCCCCCCCCCCCCCCCCCCCGTGGCTACGGGCCTGCTCACTCTACTCATTTAAGGCCAAAGTTAAAACGATGTTATTATCAGAATACTCAAGGTAGAATTTCTGTGTCAACTCTTCATTGTTTATCATGTCATCTCTTCTTTCATTCGCATCATTATCATCATCATCATCATCATCGTCTTCATCATCATCATCATCCTCATCTACATTGTCAATATCACCATCATCGAAATTTGTATTTTCAATTACCTATCCGTATCTGCTTAATATGTGTTAATATATTCATGAGTTTTTGTCTGGGGTTGTCGTTTTATCAAGCAATCTGCTTACAATGACAGTCCTTCTTCCGCAAATAATTGTTTTATAATGTTTGAGGAAACTTAGTATTTATGACATTTTATATATATATATATGTATTTGCTAATTTATGATTCATTGTCAGAAAAATACTTATTGTACTTTATATTATTATTGTTTTCGAAAAACTGTATGATTACACGAATGCAGAAGAAAATATAATCAAATCAAAATATACTTATGTTATTTTATCTAAGGTCTTTTCAGTCTTCGTTATGAAAATGTATTTATAACCCTATCAGGATTGGGTTTTTTCCTCTTTATTAGATGTAATTTTTCGCACTGCGACCTCACAAATCTTAACACTTTTCCTCGCTCGCAAATAAATGTTCAGACCATCACACCCAACTGCAAAGCATGATGCATTATGCAATATCTTGTATGGTGTATAAAGTGAAACAAATATTGAAATCATCCCTGATAATGTAAACACAATGTAGGGGTATATACCGAAGTCTAAACAATGTCTATTTTCTCTTTGAGATTTCCCTT